AAATATTCTTTTGATGAAAACAAAATGATTTCATGATCATATGATGAAAATCGCAATGAGAACTCGCAAATATGGTGCAACTAACCATACAGGTAAACTAAAAATACATGCATGTCGAAACCTCTCGCCTGTATTTTCCAAACATTGACTTACATGCAATGTGTCCACAGTAAGTGGGCCACTTAGCAAACACTAACCAATCGCATTGCAGAACAAAAAGAAAAATCTAATCAAACTAAAGCTCGCCCAATCAAAAGAAAGAATCAGGAAGCCATTAACTGCAGTGTTTACTTTTACAAGTCTATTTTTACCGTTTGACATTCGTTTATTTGCTGAAATTGTTTTTGGCCTAATGCTGATTGGCTAGTGCGCCGTTGGTTGATTTTTTCAATTTTTGTTCTGCAATATGATTGGTTAGTGTTCTCCATGTAGCCTCACTTACTGCATGTAGACGCACTGTAACATGAAGTATTAGTAATTAATCAAAACTGAACGCAGGCTCCCGTTTACGTTAGTGTTGCCATGGCAACACAATAAATTGATAATTTTAATTGTTATCATACTTTTGTACAGCACGGCAAAAATAGTTAAAAGATTATTGCTTTTAGCTATATATATTAAATCGCCACTCGATTGCACTATCGGCGAACTGACATATATTATAATAAATTATTATTAAGGTATATCTTAATATACTATAACATACGACTTCTCATGCTATAAATCAATTCTTTTAAATCTTTATGTTTAAAAATTGAAAAAACGTTTTACAATTTGTTATGTGAAACGATTTTCCAAGCTTTCTTACATGTATTTTTTATATTTTTGCTTTTTTCACTCCTGGCAAACAGCCATATTTTGAGATCAGTGATGACCACCCACCCAAAACCCAAAACGCACAGTGACCCACGCCCGCGATCATTGATGAACTTTAGACTTGGCTAATGGCTTCGTTTCCCCGGATGTAAATAGCCGAGCGGAATTAGTTCCTCCAGGCTTACGCCCCGAACGGCGTTCCGCGCCGTTGGCTCGGGGGAATATTGTGAGCTAGCATATGAGATGTGTGCAAGCGCCTTTTACATCTTGGTTTGTGGGTTCGATTTGCGCTACAAAAGGAAAAGCGCTATGAAAAGAGCCAGTGGATGCTTTGCCGAAAGCTATAGATTTTCTCCGGGTTCTCTGGGTTCCCCAAAACAGGGAAAGCTGACAGGGTGGGGTAGGATAACACAGTAATAAAGTAATATCATAATTGTTGTAAAGATAAAATATTCTACGCAAAGTAAGTAATCCCCGAGCCGACGGCGCGAAGCGCCATGCGAGGGTACTAATTCCCCAGGGCTATCTACACCCCGGAAAAGGGAAGCATCAGCCGAGTCTAAAGTTCATCAATGAGCGCGGGCGTCGGTCACCAACCGTGGGTGGTCATCCTCATTGATCTAAAAAATATGGCTGTTTGCCAGTTGTGGGATAAGCAAGATTTCAATTTTCAAAAGCATATAATTATTTGGAAAATCACGTTTCACACAATGAGCTTTGAACGCGGCTTTGAAGCAATTTTTGTTTAAACTAATGAGAAGAATTGATTTACTGTGGAAAATTGTGGAATATAGAGCAAGTTTGCATTGCATGTTAAATGTTTATGAATTTTGTTGCTTTAATTTATTGCGTAAAACATGCACTGCTTTCCTTTTCAATGAAGTTGTATTAAAGTTTGCTAAATTACCCTGTTTAATTTAAGAATAAAAGGTAAAATGTAAATGAATGCAAATTCATTTGAAAACCGAACTGAAATTACTCCACAATTTGAACTTATTTTGTTTTATAAACTATATAAAAACCCGTACAGTTTTGTTTCTGCATGCATGTATTTTCTAGTATTAAAATAAACATTTCAAAACATTTTACGAAGCGATTCACGTTAAATGTTACATTAAATCAAATCTCACAAAATGCAGAACAACATACGTACAGTACATATTTCGGAAATTCATTGTTATATAGTTAAAAGCAATAATCTTTCAACTATTTTTGGAGTGTTGTACAAAAAAATATAATAAAAATTAAATTTATCGTGTTGCCATAGCAACACTGACGTAAACGCGAGCCTGCGTTCAGTCACAGGTTCAGTGTTAATCAATTACTAACACTTCATGTTAAATCACTGTTTGGAAAATACATTGGAGGGGTTGCTGCATGCATGTATTTCTAGCGAGATTAGCGTAATACTTCATGTAAAGCGCATTTGATTATACCCACCCGCAATTTGTGCTATAAAAGCGTAATTGTAATCGTAAATACTAATCGCAATCGTAATTCAGGAAATGATGTCTGTAATCAAAATAATGCATCTACGCTCTAATAAAAAAAAATATATACACACATATATATATATATATATATATATATATAGATTACTTTGACGATATGAAAACAACTTCAAAAGATGAAATGGATTTTGTGTGATTTTCAATTGTATTTTATCATTGTTTTAAGTTTTGTTCAAACAAATGGTTTGACGAGGAGTTAATATATATATATATATATATATATATATATATATATATATATATATATATATATA